CTGAGCGTTAATTGCTACACCGGGACGGTTGCGTAGCAACAGCTACGTTTGTGTCTCTGACAGCTACTGCCCCTTGATTCCTCTGACACCTTCTGTGACAAACAGGAAAGGAGGAAAGAATAGGGCTGGCCTGGGAAAGCTAGAAGGGCCGGGGGTAGCAAGGGCATCAGGTGATGAGATTTGCTTGGGGCACCGGAGTGTTATCTGGTGGCAGTAGGAGATGCAGGCAACCACGCTGGAATTGGGCAGCTCAGGAAGCACTAGCTTTGTACATGCAGCTTTGTGCAGGCAGCCAGAAAGGGCAGACCTGCCATCTCCCAGGCGCTGCGGAAAAGCACGCTGACAGGTGGGATGTCTCTCCGGTCGGAGTAAATCCTCGGTGAGCCCCATCCCAGCTTGAGACTGCTGCTGCAGCTTGCCCGTAAGCGTGGAGCGCCCGGCCAGTGGCCTCCCTTGCTCCCTGGCCCTAGTGCCGAACTAGCCGCGCTTGCGGCTTCTCCAGCCAGCGAGACGATGTGTTCCTCGTAGGCATCCAAATCTAAGATTTCCCAAAACTGTGGGAAAGGGTGAGCACGGACACTGGAGGAAAAGGCTACGGACTGTATGGACGGAAGAGGGTCTGATGTCCAGGGCCTCTTTGCTTGTCTGCTGAGCCCAGCAACTTCCACTTGGCCACCCTGTGCCTCCAGAAAGGCAAGCTCTAAAGCGACGGGGGCCGTTGGTTCCCAAAATAGATTTTTCTTCCTGTCAAAACCATGTTCCTAATTTCTGTTTCTCTGAGTTTGCCATCAGTCTTCAGTTCTCATTGTGTCTCTGTCAGCTCGAGTGGTGGCTGGTGTGTTCCTCCCATGATGGCACTTAAGTTCTGTAATCAGCTCCCCTCTTTGTCACCTCTCTAATAAGCTACATAAATACGTGATTCCTCTGCAGCAGATTGCACAGTCTGCAGGCAGCCTGGCCTAAAGAGCCATCGGGCACTTGAAATAAACTCTCTAGTTACAGCTGAGCACATGTTAAGCTCTGCTCCAAAGCTGTTTCTCTAGTTGTGACCCTCTTAGCTAGGGCCCACACTGGACATCTCTATTCTGGTCCAGTAAACAGTGCCGGTCTGCATGCACAGACAGTTTGCGTTCGGCTGTCCTGTCTGGGAAGCTCGCAGCGTGAAATAGTAGGAGGTGGGCAAGCCTGTGTCCGTTGGCCTCAGGGCCAGAGGATGCTCATGAGTATATTTTGTTTAGCAATAACAAATCTAGCCGGAACAGAAACAAATGGCAGAAAATGCTAGGGAAATGCCAAAATGCACAAATTAGTGGGTCGCAGGGAGCGCAAAGCTGCGTCCCCGAGAGAGCCGAGAACTGAAAGGAGCAGGCTGCGTCTCAGCTGCGCTGCGTAGGAGGCAGGCGGCTCCGCAGAACGACGGGGGAAAGGCAAGGCAAGGCCACGGTGCCGTCGAGCTGGGGTGGGAGCCTGGCCACGGATGACTGGGAGAGCTTTACGTGAGGCCCAGAAAAGCAAGAAGCTGCCAGAGGCACCCAAACCGTGGTAGGCCGAGGAAGGAATAGAGGCGCTCAAGATGGGAAATTGCTTTCAGTCTTTGGGACTACATGATCGGAAAGCGGAGAACCCTGCACGTAATGTGACTGCAGAAGCAGCTGGACTGTGCTGTCGAGCAGCAGATGGGTCTCCTAAGGACACAGGGGCTTGAATCTTAGTGGATTTATTTCCTTTATCAAGGAGGAAAAATATTTTTCTCTCTGATTTTTAACTTTGCAGCTTAACAAGCTGCGTGCCCCTCAGGTTAACTCCTGGGAGCGCGGTGGGGCGGAGGGATGAACGTTAGAACCGGGCTCTCGGAAGCAGAGCAAAGGAGAGAGGCGAGGTGAAAGCCAGGGAGAGGCGCCCGCCGAAGCGCTGGGGAACAGGAGAGCCCGTGCGGCCTCTGCGCCCCCAGCAGGAC